ATATATATAATGTAAAAATATAATAGATAATTATATTACAAATGGGTGATATTAACCATCTAAATTGTAACAATAACCCCATCCATGAAAGAGAACCCATCCATCAAGGGAAATAACGTTCATACCAAAAGTAACCCTCAAAGTTTAGATTTAAATACTAAGATTAGTATTTTAAATAATTAATTAATTATTTTTTCAATTTACTCGTCAATATTGAGTTATTGTTAGCAATGATTTGATTAAGATCATTAATATTTAAATGTAATTTTATTTGTTTATTATTTTTTAAATAGTTAGTTTTATTATTTGAAAGTTTATAAACTAATTTTAATTTATTAAATAAGAAATGTTAATTAATTATTAATTATTAATTATTTTTAACAGTTAAATTAAAATAAAAATTTATTAATTTTGGTAACACTAATAAAATAAATGAAAACTATAACTATAACCATTATTGAGGGACACTTTTAAAATTTATTGATGAAAAATTAATTTTAAAATACATATAAATTATAAGAAGATCTATAAAATAATTAATTAAATTATTGGTTAAAAAACGTTTCCCAACCATATAGTTAAACATTTTCTCAAAATATAGTTAGGATTGGAAATAACATTCCCTCTCCCAAATTCTCTCACGGTGAGGTTTCACCTAGTTTTTTTTTTTTTTTTTTCTTTGAATATTGGGAAATTTGGGGATGGAGGATTTAGTTTTCAAGTGGTTGATGGCAGATGAACTCTCAACCAAATACATTTAAGCAGTTAAAATTTAGGGACGAACCATTATATCCGACTGAGGGTTCACCTAGTTGGTTGGGAAAAAAGGGTAGGAAAACTAACTGCCCTTATCCATATATGGGGAAAAAAAGGAAGAAAACTGACAGCCCTTATCCATACCAAGTACTAATGGTCACAGTCAGACGTCTTTTTCCATTTTTGTTGGTAATAATTGACACCCCTACATCCACTCGGCATCCTGCGCCACAGGTGTAAAGAGCACGACTCTGCAGAAAAAAGGTCTAATTCACGGCTACGTTATCCTTCACGTACTAGCAATTGTTTTCACCCGTCTGTCTCTAACTCTACCTCCTTTTTGCCATTTATGATTTATAGAATTCTGTGAGGGAGCAAAACCCCACACTGGTAGTAGCAAGTGTCAGAGAGTGCGACAAGAGATGTGGTTGTTCAGCAGGAAAGGCCCATCTGGGTTCTCTGCATCTTCCACGGCTGAGGTGGTTACTCAGGGGATTGATGGAACTGGTCTCACTGCCATCGTCACAGGTCAATTCTCTATCTGGGTTTGTTTTTGTTTGGTTTTTGTTTTTGTGATTTGTGAGGATGATTACTGAATTGGATCTGAGATTTGTAATCCATCTCCATTTTCTTATACGAATTGACTCGTCGAATTGGGGTCTTCATCTTGGTTCTGATCCTGTGGGGTATGGCATAAAATTGAAAGAGTTCTTGTTTTTCATTCAGGGATTAAAATTGAATGAATTCTTGTTGGTAGTGAGTAACTTTTGGTAGAAATCTTATTCTTTCTGCTGTTGTAGTTATTGTCATTATCAAATTCTGTCATGTGGGCTCCAGATTTGATATTTCTTTGAAGTAATAGAGTTGGAGGAGTGAAATGGGGAATTGTCCTTTGACTTAATTTCTTTCCTACATTCTCTCTTTCATTATGTTGTCCTATATAAATTTTAGGCATCCAGTGGTTTGTTGGTGTGCAGTTGGCCGACTTGCCAATTGTCAAATGTTCATGCTTGATGCTTTAATGTATGTAATTTATTGCTGCTGACATCGAAAGTACTCAGTACTGCACTGATAAAAGTTATTTCATGGCAACTGTGATTATAGGAGCATCTAGCGGCATTGGAACTGAAACTGCACGTGTTCTTGCAATGCGTGGTGTCCATGTAATTATGGGGGTGAGGAATGTGGCTGCTGGACTTGATGTAAAAGAAGCAATTGTTAAGGAAATCCCCTCTGCGAAAGTTGATGTCATGGAGTTGGATCTCAGTTCACTGGAATCAGTGAGGAAATTTGCATCAGAATACAATTCCTCAGGTCGTCCAGTGAACCTCCTAATGTAAGAATAGGGTTCAAATCCTTTCAACGTGTCATTTCTCATCTTTCTCTGCATGTTTGTTTCTTTTATTATAAAGTAGAAAGACTCTGCTCCCTACTTAACTTTTTATGCATAGTAGCATAATTGTACAATATTTTATTTTTCTAAGCTGTGAAGGTATGGAAAATTACTGAAGAGTGTGATTTATGTCTTTGTTGTCAGTAATAATGCAGGAATTATGGCGACTCCTTTCAAGCTTTCCAAAGACAACATTGAACTCCAGTTTGCAACAAATCACTTGGGTATGTTCCATATATTTTGAGGATATCTCTTGTGAATGGATATTGCCGAGCTGTGTCAGCATAACTTGACAGGAATTAGTTGTTTCTTAAATGCATAATTATGAGCCCGCAATTTTGTAGGGTAATTATATGTAAACAACTTTTTTGTATAATTTTTTTATACGACTTTTACATGTTATTAAATGAGTAGATGCATATAATATCATAAGTGAGTAGAGTGAAAAGAGTCAAGCCAATCGTTAAATGACATGTAAGGTTATATAAAAAAGTTGTTTTAAAAAGTTGTTTCTCAATCATTTTCCAATTTTGTAACATTTTGGAGTGTGGGTACTATAAATGGAAAGAAGTTAGCTGGCTTTATAACGAGTACCATAGTTCAGGGGAAATAGAGGAAGAAATTTTTCTACTGATTTAGGTCTATAAAATAAAGGAAAAAGTGTTGTGCAGTCTGGACTGTATTGAACTGCACAACACTAATCATTGGAGGGGTGACCCTTATATTAGAGGGCCCACCTCTGTCAAAGGGGCCCTGTTTTGCAGTTCTGTATAGTTTGAACTGCAAAATATGGACTCTACAATAAATTAAAGATGGACTAAATCTGTAAATGTTTGGCAGGCCATTTTCTTTTGACAAATCTCTTGTTGGACACAATGAAGAAAACAGCACGTGAAAGTAAACGAGAAGGACGGATTGTAATTGTCTCATCAGAGGCTCATCGATTCCCATATTCTGAGGGAATTCACTTTGATAAGATCAATGATGAATCAGGGTAAGACTATACAACCCTTCTGATTTCATTGGCCTATTCTTTAAGATCATAGTTTTCACTTACTGGCAGTCCAGAACAAAGTGAAATTTGATGTCTGTTATATTTTAATATGCATATATTAAGCTACACCATACTATTAAAAATAAAATATTGCAAATTTGGTTCACCTAAACATTGAAAATTCAAAATTTAAAATTTATGACAATTAACAATTGAAAACTGAAAAAGAAATAAAAATTATCTAATTCATCTCCATGCTTGCTATTTTTGTATATTACCCAAGTGGAGATGATTTAGTGATCCCACAAAGTGGAGATGTTTGCATTCGTTATATTGTCCTTCGACTTGGTCATGTACAGGTACAGCAGTATTCGTGCATACGGCCAATCAAAGCTTGCTAATGTTTTGCATGCCAATGAACTTGCAAGACGTTTTAAGGTATGTGAGAACCTCATTACTAGTATTGAATGGGGAATATTTTCAATGCTAAAAGAGCATTATATATGTGTTGCCATTTAAATTATTTTGTTCTTTGTGCAATTAAAATTCCAAATCTTGGCTTCAAACGTCAGCATTCAGGCTTGAATACTTCTGTTTTGCATGATGTTCTCCCTTTTTATTTTAGTTTGGCATGTAAACTTGGAATGTAATTCATCTTTTAATTCGATGTTTATGGTGATTATTTCTTCTCAGCAGCATAGAATGTGAATTTTTTTCATGAAGCTAGCAAATTTTGATTCCTGTATTTTGTTAAAAGCCAAAAGGGGATAATCTAAGTGAAACATTTGGACATTGACCTGCGATACCATATGTTACTGAACCATTACTTTCTATTAACCTGTGTTCAAGCCTGCCTGTGCCTCTGTGGGTATTGGGCTTGAGAAGTGTCTGACATGAATGCTGTATTGACCCTTCATCTTATCTGGCTTGTAGAGATCCTCTTTCGTTTTGTAGGCCTTTCTTTTTTTATCAAGTGTAATATGTGGAGCCTCTATTTGATTAGAAGTCCTTATTAGATTGTCTTTCGAGTACATAGCTTTGGGAATAGCAGATTGAACTCAGTAACTAATAAAAATCAGTTAATTATTCTTTGTATTTGTTTAACTGGAAAATGTTCTGCTGCAAAGGCTATATACTTTGTGAAGAGAACCTCCTTTGCTTTTATGATGAATAATATTCTCATCGGTTTCTGTAAGTCAAGCAGGAAGAGGGAGTGAACCTCCATACCGTGATAGCTTTTTCTTGCTATGTAAAATCTGGATGATGTTTATTTCTTTAAGCAGGAAGAGGGAGTTGATATAACTGCAAATTCACTTCATCCAGGAGCAATTGTCACTAATCTTTTACGTCATATGAGCATCATTCATGGTAATCATTTGAGTGTTTTATATCCTTACAGGGTTTTCTTTGTTGTGTTTGGGCGAAACTGGCATGGTTTTTCTTTCCTGGTCATAGGAAACTTTGTTGATAAGTAATTTTACATTCTTTACACAGCT